GAAAGGCCATTCAACGATCGATCATCTTGTTCGTCTTGAACACACAGTGTGTGAGGCCTTCTTGCATAGGCAACACTGCCTAGCAGTGTTTTTTGACCTGGAGAAGGCCTACGACACCATGTGGAGGTACAGTATACTGAGAGACCTGGCAAATCTCGGAATATGCGGAAGAATGCTTAATTGCCTCTCTGACTTTCTATCAAACCGAAACTTCCAGGTACGGCTGGGCTCCACACTATCGCGGGTTTTCGTCCAAGAAAATGGTGTGCCGCAGGGTTGCGTGTTGAGCACTACACTGTTCGTAGTCAAAATGAATTCAGTTAATGAAGTAATCCCACCCTCCATCATGCACTCATTATATGTTGACGATCTTCAGATAGCATGTCGGGCCTCAAGCATATCCACATGTGAAAGGCAGCTGCTGCTAACTATCAACAAACTGACCAAATGGGCAGATCAAAATGGCTTTCGCTTTTCTACCCAGAAAACCGTTACTCTACTTTTCTCACAAAAGCGCAGCTTGTATCCGGACCCTGTTCTTAAAATCAACAACAGTGTACTGCCACTCAAGTCAGAACACCAGTTCCTAGGCCTAGTCTTTGACAGGAAACTAAGCTTCATTTCCCACATGAATTACACAAAAAAGAAAGCAAACAAAGCGCTCAACATTCTGAAAATACTATCGTGGAAATACTGGGGTGCCGATCGAGTCTGCCTTTTACGCATATACCGCTCGATCGTGCGCAGCATACTTGACTACGGCAGCGTTATTTACGGTTCAGCCAAAAAATCTTACCTCAAACGTCTTGACCCAATACATCATCATGGATTGCGCTTGGCGACTGGAGCGTATAGAACCTCACCTGTCCAGAGCTTATATGCTGAGAGCAACGAGCCGTGCCTAGAACAAAGAAGAGCGCTACTTACTGTATCCTATGTTTTAAGAACCAGATAGAAACCAAGCCACATATGTCACACTATTGTCTTTCACATCGGTACCACAATACAATACAACAACAGACCGCACACGATAAGACCACTTCTCCTGTGCTTTGAAGAAATATGTCTAGACTACAAAGTACCGAATCAGGCACTAAGCGTTGTCCGAATGCCGGAAAGACTGGCTCCATGGTTGGGCTTTTCGCACTACACTGACTTTGCCTTAACTCATCTAAGGAAGAAGGAAACTCCACGGGAACAAATTATCGAGGATCGCTTAGCCGTACAAGAAAAATATAACACACACTCTGAATACTACACTGATAGAGCAAAAACACAAGAATATACAGAAAGTGCAGTCATATCAAAACACTGAGAAACATGTATAAGACTGCCACCATTCGTATCTATCTTCACAGCAGAAGTATATGCTCTTTTGATTGCTCTCGAAGAAATTTTATCAAGAAATCACAAAAAAGCTGTCATATACACTGACTCACTTAGCGCATTAAAAGCCCTACATTTAAGGTCAGAAAACGAACCGTTTCTCTGGGACATTTTACAGAAGCTAGAAAGAGCTGAGAAAAATGGCAAGATAATCCGGCTTGTATGGGTGCCGAGCCATGTTGGTATCCCAGGAAACGAAAAGGCAAACAGGGTAGCAACAAGGGCAGGTCATCAAAGTATAGCAGAAATAAGGGCACCATTCAGAGACTGTTTCAATAGTTTTCGGACAGCCTTTAGGGCAAAATGGCAAGAAGAGTGGCAGGCTCAAGTGCATAACAAGCTTCAAATTATCAAGCCTATTCTACAAGAATGGAAGTCTTGCAATCACCAAAAGCGCTTCATCGAAGTAACACTATGCCGCCTGCGTATAGGTCATACTCACCTAACCCACAACTTTTTATTGTGCGGAGAAGATCAACCAGAATGCGAACATTGCAAGGAACCTCTGACTATCAATGATATTTTAATAACATGCCCAGTTTTTGAAAAAAAGTAGACACATTTGTTTTAAGCAGTTTTACAGAACACAAACACCTCTACACCCAATCTTAATACTATCAGAAAATGCACCCATCCCCATACAGGATGTTTTTAGGTTTCTAGACACCGCAGGTCTTCTAAACAGACTGTAAACAGAAATCTGTTTTTCACCTCACATTTTAACCCTATTATCATAATCACTCAGTGTCTGGTGCATCATAGCCATTATTGCTTTTGCGCCATAAAACCCAACGTAACTAACTAACAAATGGTGAGGAAACAAAAATCTCAAACAATATACTCAGGCCAAGCACCTTGGTTGTGGTATTAAGATGATGACTGCATGTGACCACAATTACGGTGGCTGTGGCACTAGGGCTCCTTGTGGATGACTTTATATGAATACCTTCTGTACAGTTGTCACACCCAAGTTGTCTTATTAACAGATGTAATCTCACATGGCACAATTGCACCTGACTTCAGGCTACATGAATTTACTTGGATGCTGACAACGCTTTACACGAGTGTTGCAAAGAGAGGAACATATGTGAGAGTAACATTAACAGGTTAAAGCTTTTGTAGAATACTTACGACAAGTACCCTAATAAAAATGACAGTTAATGAAGGCAATGAAGGACATTATCTTTACTGTATTAGCAGAAAACTGACACAAAAATTTTGCAGCTTTTTTAGCAATAAGTAGCTGATGACCCCACTTATCACAGCTGGAAACCTCGTTGGCACGAGTGTGCGATGATTACTTATTTAGAAAATCTTTTTGAACGCCCAGTTTCGGTTTCAAAGAGCACCGGGCAGGGGCAGCTGCAGTACCAAGGCTAACACAGCTGGCCACGTGACCTCACAAAACTGTGACATGGCCACACATGCAAGAGTATGCACGAGCGGATGCCGCACTGATAACAACCACACGTGAAGCCGTAGGCACGGAGGAGGAAAGTGCAGGTAGCATGAATGGAAGGCTTGTGCCAGCAACCAGCCAACACAAGTTTAATAATAATGATATTTGTTGGGGTTTAACATCTCAAAACTACTATATGATTATGAGAGACGATGTAGTGGAGGGCTCTGGAAATTTCGACCTTCTAGTGTTCTTTAATGTGCACCTGAATGTATGTACACGGGCCTCAAGCATTTTCACCTCCATTGATAATGCATCCACCTTGACCGGGATTCTATCCTGCGACCCGGCTGCCAAATGCTTTAGCCACTATACCACTGTCAGAGGTCCAACACAATATTGTGACGTGGGCTTGTTTACACTCTGGCCGCGTTGGTTTTGTCGCAAGGGGCTCCACACCTTCAGCCGTGTGGCACGCACTTTAAAATTGATTTTGAACATATTGTAGGCTATATTTGCCCTTGACATTTCGTAGATGTTGTGTGTGTCTCTAAATAAATAGATCTCGCTCATTATCTCGTCTTCGAAATTTTCTGTCGGCGCACCTCTAAGTGCATTGTAGTATAATTATATATGTATATATATGTATATATATATATATATATATATATATACACATATGTATGTGTGTGTGTGAAAAATGTACAGTGGACTTAAAGAAACACAAGTGGCATACGGTAGAAACTGGACTTGCAACCTTGACTGAACCTGCCATATTTTGATACGAAGGTTGCAGGTTCAGTCTCTGCAGGACGCAAGTTGTGTTTTTTTAATCCACTTTACATTCTTCACACCTATAACTTGTAACTTTTGGATGCGATGGTTGCAGGTTCTGGGAGAATCACAGCCGAGTCTGTCAAGTGTTCGAACTAAGAAACTATAACATTCCCCAAAACCGATTTATATCACTTTAATAAATGACTACTGATATTGGTGACAAAAATAGAGAACCATATGTCAAGATGCTGCTGTTAATTATCCAATGGTGTGCTTCATCTGGGAAACAGTTCCAGGTGAGGTGGTGGTCTTCTGTACCAGGGCACTATGTAGACAAGATGTTCAACTGATCCTGATCCAGCTCACTTTTTTGGGGCAGCTGATGATGAGGACCTTTCCTCTGCTCTTGCTGCCAACTTTCACAGGGACCTGGCAATGTGGCTGCTGTGTAGGTTGCACTTGTGGTGAACTTGTGGTGAAAAGTTTGCACCATGGCAAACTGACAGTGCCAGTTTGCCATGGTGCATTTAGAGTAACTGTAGCTGTTCTTGTTGCCATTGATGAGCAGCTGAAACTTGAGCGCAATATCTGTAGCTTAATTGGTGGCGTTATTGCCACTGCTGCGACCTCAAGCTGGGCTGTACCATGGGTAGGCCTAGGGTGATCTCACGAACCAGGCAATGCTTTCACGCAACGTCACTCTCAAAGTGTCAATGGACTTCCACAACAAAGGAAAGCCTGACAAAAGATATTTAAATTTCCAGGTGAAAATTTTCTGCTGGTTCCAGCAGGGTGCCTACTAGTTCTTTATTAGGACCAGCATGCTGCCTACTAGCTTGCTGATGGTCCCAGCAAGCCACCTGCTGGTTTTACTGGTTCCAGCAGTGTGCCCATTGGTTTTCTGCTGGTTTCAGCTGGGTGCCTACTGGCTCTTTACTGGGACCAGTACACTGCCTACCAACCTGCTGGTGGTCCCAGCAAGCTGCCTGCTGGCTGTACTGGTACTAGCTACTCCTCAGTAGCATTAGTCTAGCATCTGTTATTGGCGTTCTTTTTTTTTTTTTTCAAACTAATACTCAATAGTTAGCTACTTAATAATGAAAATACCGCACAATAAAAAGTTTTATTATTTATTTATTTATTTATTTACAGGTAAAAACATAAGAAATCGCAGTCTTATATAACATATAAATTATTATGACGTCTTAGCACCGTAGTTAATACAACACATGTTGTGCTTTTGTCATCACTTGTCTGTCTTTGCATTTATACGTTCGGTGTGTTAGTTGCAAGTTTTCTCTGGAATCTGTGTGACATGAGCATGTAATAGTTTATTTTTGGGTCAGTTTCATCTGTTGAAAGTGTAACAAGTGAATATCAGCCTATTTGAGCTGTTCTTGCTGCTATGCTCTGCGGTGTCTTGATTTCGTGAGTGCAGATGGAGGCCCACCTTGTATCTCAGCGATCGATCTTTCATGCAGGTAAGTTGCATATTTATTTCAAATATAATTAAACCGTGCAAATCCCGAATGCTTCTGTGCTTTATTAAGCTCACTGTCGTCATACATTGGTGTCTGTGATGTAAATGAAATTGCATATGCATGCCGGTTGCTGTAAGTAAGCTATGATCCTCTGTGTCCGTGTAATGAAGTATTAACACACTGCTTAATTCTAGTTTGCTGAGTGAACTAATGAGGCTGTATAGATGTAAAAGTTATTCGCTTAATATGTACACCGTCGTGCGCACTGCTTCCCACGAATTGACGTTAAGTAGCATTTTTAAAGATTGATATCTGCTGTTACGATCTGCATTGACAACAAAATATTTAATTTTGTTATAGATTGCCTGCACAACTTTGCTGCCCTTGACAATACAGACATCTGTGGTGTGGATCAAGGTCCACTGTGGATTTTCATTCCGAACGATTTCAGCGGGAGCCGAAGCTGGCAGATTACCTTTTTCAAGTGTAAATACTAGATTTTTAATCAAATGTAATAGATCAACGCTTGTGTGTTATGGGTGTATTTAACGGACTTTTGAAAAGCAGCCCCTTTAGAACTACATGCTATTGAGGGGAACAAACTTAATCTGCTCATTGGTACCTTTGTAACTCGTATTACTAACTCATATTACTAAGTATTACAAAAATGGAATGCGACGATTGTTCAGCTGTGAAGGGACTAACTTCCAGTTAGAAACAGGCTGTATTTCAGCTAGTTCGAGCTGCAATAAAGCTTGCAGCCGACAATATGCAGCTCAAATCAGGCTTATTGCCTGCTTTGTTGCTTGGAGGTGTGCTCCATGTCGGCGAGTTACAAGTTGGCCGACTGCCTGCAACACTGCGCTGTAACCACCAGCTACTGGTTCCATCACCTGCTCGTTCCATTACCTACTGGGAATGTGCTAATAAACCAGTACTGCTGGAACCAATAGCCAACCAGCAGAAAATTTTCAGAGACCCTCATATAGCCAAAGGGACTACACAGTTCATTTAAAAAGCTTTGCAAACTTGTAATCATATCTACTTCAGTGAGTGCACTTGTTTGCCTGTTGCATTCCTTCGTAAATGGCCTACAGCCTCAAATATTTCAGATCAGTGTGAAAGCATGTTTGTTTCCTTTGTGCTACTGTATTGTGTAACTGCGTAAGGCAATGCCTTTTGCAGTTATCCTCATGCAGTTTCCACAAAATAAGGTATTGGCATATGCTTGAGAATCGGGGCATGTATTCTTTTCCTCATCCTCCTGTGTACGCCACATCATACACATATCTAGTGCAGTGCTATGTGTGTTGGATAATTCCCATTGCTTGGTATGCATTATTACTATTTTGATATTACACATCTTGAATTAGGCTACTGCAATGTAAATTTCAATGTACAGTGTAACCTCATTCCTCCAGTTATGCCGACACCTATTTAAAACGAATTTGCTTGTTCTCGGGAAAACATGTCAAAATATGTAATTTACTAAAGACCTAAAATATGCACTAACTTACTGAAGGACTATTATGTGAGTAAAGTTCACACCAACCCTACCATGTACACCTGAGAATCTAATAAAATACTGCATTTACAAGAATATGACATAAACTTGGCTTTCAGGGGTTCAACAAAAACTTTAACTGAATCTAATGTTTCGGCTTTTGAATATAAAACAGATGTACCCCTTAGAAAGAGAGTGTGTGAGACAAGTATTCTATGCCATTCATGAAATGGGTTATTCATCTCTTTGCAGTTTTTTTCTTTGGTGATGTAAATTTGTAGCTTTAAAATTAGTTGTGGGTAGGCCTTGAAAACAGGAATGTTCTAGGGCTGTTATCTCCGCAATGCCTTATTTTCAATGGGATTGCTTGAGGTTGTCATCAAGCTAGTATTTGAGGTCCAGATATTTTCTGTTTTTGTCCACTAAAATATTCTTGGTTGATATAAAATTGCAGGTCTCATTCTTGTGCTACTCACAGACAGAGGCATTCAGCATGCAAAAACAAGGTGATGCAGCTATCTTCTTTCTGCAAGCATAGTAACCTCCTCTCTATATGATTTTTTTTAATTGAATTAAATCTTTACTTTTATGTTTCATGCTACATGAAGGATAGCGGGAGTGACAGCTGCACTGAAACACCTTGACTAGCTCCCGCTACCTAAAATGAATGGGTCAGAAACATTGGCATACAAATAAGATAACAAAAGCATACTATAAAGAAATATGATAATCTTAATCAATTATATAATCTAAACTTAACAGGATACAACAGTTCCCATAAAGAGAAAAACAAAACATCAGAAGTGAAACATACAAAAGGGTAAACAACATCATGATACAATTTATAAGAATATTGATGCAACATTTTTTGTGGTTATAAAAAACTGATACAACTTGCAGGTTTCAGCCATGCACAGAATTAGGATGAGCCACAAGAGAACTTTTGTGACTACGGAAAAGTGGGCTCTGTCATTTTGGTGACGCAATGCTACTGTTAAAATACCACTGTATTCCTGTGCTGCACTGCAGTGCACAAGTGCTACGTGAAAAAGGTGGCCTTGATGCATTTGTTTTCTGGGTTGTGCTTCTCATTACTTAGATGACACAACCACCCTGGAAGTACTATTGCTTTCCTGTTGTGTTGCTTCCGAGGGTTGTCCTTCTGGTTCTCATTATATGGCCACTGTGGGACCATTAGGCATAGCAGGTATGTGGTATTAGATATCATGCATACTATTAAGTATGTGAGAAAGTGTCTGTGCTAGACGTTACACTAGCTGATCTGGCACTTTCAATGGAGCATTATTTGTTCTTATTCGAGGCACTTTGTAGCCAGTTGAAAAGTTGCTCTCCTCCCTTATTTCAGGCTTTTTGAGCGAAAATACTAAGATGTGATAGTGGGTGTGAAGCTCATTGTAAACCTTACTGTGCCTGAACTTTTTCCCTGTCCACACCCATGCTCTTTGATAGCCAGCTATTAATTGTTTTCACCTTCAAATTTTGCTGTACTAGAAGTGCTTACCAACAGCTAATGTTAACTATCGTGTAAAACAAACAATTTTTTAGTTTTGCTTTTTCATTTATTATTCCCACTGCAGGTGTCTTCTGAATGTGTAAGGAACACGGAATGCTCATAGCTTCAAAGATGGTGCCGACACCATGCGCGCCTGTCTCGTGAAAACGCCAAATTTTTGCGGACACCAATGAGTCTTATTCATAGCTCTTCAGCAGCAGAAACTCAAAAAGATTATTTTCACTGATTATGCACCATCACAGACAGGGTAAGTGTTGAAAAGCCACAGAACCTCAACAGGTATCCGCCGATAGCTCTCGTTATTATCTCCAAACCAAGCCGTCGCTGCTGCGCTCCGTTCTAAAGATATTTGGCATGTTCTAAAGGTCCCATCTTTTATCTGCAGGGTGTCAACATTGTTTGGGTGGCACCTCATTCCCACAAGTACTGAATAAGTGGAGTTTCTTGCGAGCTGGCGAAAGACTGTGAATTTTGGTGTAACACTCTGCAGTGCAGCGTTTCATATAAACATTCTTTACCTGAAAAATTATTGCAGAAATGTGTAACACGGCTAAGAGTTATGCATTAATGCATGCTTTTGAGTCAGATATAGCACAGGAAATGAATGTTTTTTTTAAGGCATGCTGCGGAAACCCATGCTTCAACACATGATCTAACTGCATTGTGCAGTGGCACTACAGCCACTTGGGCTAACGTTTTTATCTGATAACTTCTATGGATAAAATGCATATATATTCAGGATTATTGCATATGATATTATCGCTTAAAAGGCATATTTTTGTGTTTACTCTGTGCAAAGCATTATTAATGTACTTACAATGTTCACGTGTTTCTTGAAAAATTTTCTATTAAAGTTTCTATTTTTCACAACATTTTTTAGTACATTTGAATTTAATACCATTAGAAGATCTATTGCGTCTTCCACAAACTGGTCCACGTGTTATGGTTTCAATAGCTGTATGTGACATTAGAGAACTTGCTTACAAGAGAACAGGAAAAATGGCTTATTTTCCCGTGTACAGGACAGTTCTAGTCAATTTTGTGACTAATGTTTTAACACCACTTTATTTCTCTACCCGTCATGGTGGTCTAGTAGCAGGCACTTGGCTGCTGACCTGCAGGTCGCGGGATCGAATCCCGGCCGCGGCGGCCGTGCATTCGACGAGTTTCTTCATCCGTGCTATAGTTTTTGTTTTCTTTTTATGTATATACTGCGCACATTACTATTTTGTTATGCATATTATTTCAGATGTTCTCCGCAAAATCTCTGCTTGATTTGCGCACCCTCTTCTCAGAGCTTCAAAATTGCGAAAACAAGTGCACAAATCATGCAAGTGCGGTAGTTCTCACGGAAAATATTGCACTAGTAACCATGTAATTATGATTGTAAAATTGTAGTACTTGTGTTACCGCAAAGCAAGCCCCTGACATGAGAATATGGGGGAAAACTGGTGGAAAAACTTATTTCTTTGTTGGGCATGCTGTAAGTTACCACTACTGAGGCAAATTATGTTGCGTTGCCAGCCTAGACTGACTACATTCATGTGCAAAAGGGCCATGGAAGAATCACCAACCAAGGCCTCAAGGAAGGACTGAATTCGGGGAGGATTTTTTTGGACAATCACATGAACTTCATAGCACAACTGCACAATACAATATTGTACAGCTATGAACTGTGTTGTTCATAGCTCTAAAGCTGTTTGACTGTCCCTTTTTGGCTGTTATTGTAGATGAGTCTGACCCTGGCTACTTGGGCATTGTACATCACCGTTTGCTGCAAGCTCATGTGGCTTCATAACGGTGCACAGCATGTGAGCACTGTATGCTCATACTGCTATTCAAAACCCCTAGAAAAGAAGGTATTGAAAAAAATTGCATTGCTTAAAAAAATTGTGGGTTTGATGATGCACATTCTTTTGCATTCAATTTATTTAGGTGTCTTAGGTAATTCTACTGTGCAGTTACACAGAGAAAGAACTAAGCCACTTGTGCATCTGAATAGACATGCTTGTGCACGCCATATTGTTAAAAGCTTTGTACTCTACTTTCTGAGAGAAGTGCCCATGCGCAGTGTTGAAGGGCACTGACACAAACTTTCATAGCTAGCCTGTGGGATATGTAATTTCGTATAGTATCACACGTGCATATCATCTACAAAATCTGAACTGAAGATACTGCTTGGATGGTAATTTACATGCATTTTGAAGATTGTGTCCCCTACCTTGTGCTATACACTGCACATGACGACACTGACACCATACAAAGTGAGCTGAAGGTGACTGCAAAGTCCTGTGCTGTTACCATTGCAGGCGAGCTTCGAGATGCTCAGCTAAATCGTGATATCATAGTCAGCATTGTGCTTTTGCTCTGCTGGAGCCACCAGGCTCTCCTACATTTAGTTTTTAATGTGTACATATGCATACACATACAAACACACATGCAACCATAAGTAAGCTTCGATTGAAACACTCCCCTGAATAAAATGTTTCTAGTAGGGGTGTGCGAATATTTGAAATTTCGAATATTGTTCTAATGTCCTTGCTATTCAATTTGTTTCGCACTGGAATCTTACTATTCGAAACTATTTGGACTTCCAAAAGGCAAAGTCAATGTCTGATTTGCAGTGGCGCTTTAAGATTTTTTAATATGCTTCACTTCAATTTATGATCTCTTACTATGGCAAAGCTGCCTTTCAGGCTCTCCTACAGTCACAAATATATTGAATAAAAAAAAAACGCTGGTTCCAACATGAAAATAATTGATGTGGCAAAGGTGGGAGCTCAAATAATGCTGTTTTGACCTAAAATTTGGCCTGAAATTAAAGAAAGAAATCAGATGATAAAAGATTTTTAGCGTGCAAACTTTCAGATGTCTCTCTATATTGATGCCTATGAAGCATATTAATAACTAAGAAATTGAAGGAAGCCAATCCTTATCCGCCGCAGTTGTGCTTCCACAGAAGTTTTAACAGAAAGAGAGGCCGAGGAAATCTTTGCCTTTCAGGTATAAAGTGTTGTAGACAACACGTAGGTTGCAGGAAATCTTGTACATAAATACAATTCGGCTTCTGCCTTGCTTCATGCTTGATGAGACAATGCCATATCAACCTAGCTTAAGAAACCCGTCAATTTTTTCCCTGCAATCTTGCTTCAAAGTATTTAAAAAATATTCTAGAAATATTTAAGAAATATTTTATTCGATTCGCACTGACGCTTCAATTCTTGAATTCTCTTTGCACCCAACATTTCGCACAGCTCCAGTTTCTAGCTATGCCCTTAGTGCCATACTTTTGCTATGAGAACATCTTTAAGTGTATCTGGTTGCGGGAAAGAGTCCCAGCTGAGGTGGCTGTGTTTCGGTATATGCAAAATTCTTGAGGCTTAGGACTACATTCGCCAACGCTCATTTTGCGTGCCATCTGAAGAGAAATGGACTCTGAGACGAAGTGTTAAACAACACGACATTTACGACAAACACAGAAAAGAAGCCTACAACACAGAACTAGAAAAAGCGTTGAAGCAATTGAGTAACACGACTGTCTGAATGAATGAGGAAAACAACAAACGCCAGTTCAAGGCAGAAAGTTCCAAAACCTCATGATGAGATAGAGGGGCCGACAATCGCTGAGGTGCAGGGCAGGAGGCGGCGACGGGCGGTGTGGAGCAGGGCGCGTCTCGATGTGCGACGCTGTAGCGACGATGACGCTTGACGGCGTGGGTCAGACTACAGACCAGTCAACCCAGTTCTGTGGTCAGCCTGCATAGGATACGCGATGCTTGGCGCAACCGTGACCATTGGTCAGGCCATGTCTGTCACTGTGCCGAACGGCTGACCGTGGAAATGTCTTGCCGAGATCCGTGATGCTCTCTGCAAGGAACAGTGCAGCAGGCCTGGCCTCACTTTGAGATGTAGTACTCATGCTAGCAACGCCGCCCCAGCTGGTTCGTCGAACGGCAGTAGCGTGGACAGCCGGGTTCCCTGGCCAAAACCTGGATCGCCGGCGTTCGATGCATCGGCCTGTTGTCTTCCGTCTGCCGCTGCTTCGGCTCGTTCCCAGCCACAAAGCTTCTCGCCACATAATCCTCATAAGTGGCCCCATCGTGGCACGCCACCTCTATGGGCCACCACAAGTCATCACCTGATTGACGCACAATTGGCTCGCAATCCCATGCGCATTGCCTCGCACTTTCGTAGTCGTTCTTCCTCACTCATCACAATAAACCATCGCACAAGAAAGTTCTTTCTATAAAACAACTTTTCTCATACCAGCACAGTGATGAGGAACAGCACATAGAACTGCTAATTCAACTTTTGTCTACCTAGAAATGTCACACTAATTCACAACTTGATTTTTCCTTAAGATGACGTTTCAGACCAACCAACACTCAGAAACTTACATGTGTACTCACAAAAAAAACCCAAGCACAAAGACACTAGAGGGTGTTCATTTTCATTCTAGCTGTATGATAGGCTCATTTTCAATATATAATAAAAATTCTGAAGCAACACTTGAAATTGACTTTGTTTTCTAAATGATTTATAGGTAGAGTCAAACTCATTTCTTTTGAATATCAACTGGACACAGATATGTTGCAATCAGACTAAACATAAGAAATTAGCTACGGCCAACTGCCTGTTGAACAAGCCAGAGTATTTTAATACTTTATCGGCCTAAGAAGAAACAATGAACGAGTAAACATACTGGCATATGTTCCGAGATACACCACATTACAAAGAACTAAAGAAGGCCCACCTTCCTGAAACTGTTCCTTTGTGCAAGCTACGTCCTCTTATAAATCTTGTCTCCTGGTGCACTATACCAAAGCCACCTTTCCTCTCACACCAACATTTCACTTTAGCTGTTGTCCTGATCAGACTAGAACAATTGCCGGGAATTGTCAGGGGTTGATGCATACGATGACACGACTGATTGAACGACAAACAACTGATTTATTAACGATTCGAAGAGATTACAAAACTGATGCCTCGTGAACCGCTTCGCGCTCGCCCCAACCATCCTCTCCCTTGCGACCGCTTTCTTCAACCACTAATAGTTGCACAACCTTACCACAGAATGACCTCACGATAGGTGGCTCCAGCTGTCCGTATTGGATGAAATTGCCTAACAGAATGCAATCTGCAGAGTATTCGGTGTGCCCGGATATTTAATAGAATCCTTCATATTCTATTTCATAGAGAGCAGCAACTCATTCAGTCTCCTAAGCTCTCACAGAAACAGAATCGATAATATAGAGCCTAGTTCACTTGATAACTTTTTTTACGTTAGCACCACATGCCCCGCTGCAATGGTCTAGTGGCTAAGGTACTCGGTTGCTGACCCACAGGTCGCGGGATCGAATCCCGGCTGCGGCGGCTGCATTTCCGATGGAGGTAGAAATGTTGTAGGCTTATGTGCTCAGATTTGGGTGTGCGTTAAAAAACCCCATGTGGTTAAAATCTCCGGAGCCCTCCACTACGGCGTCTCTCATAATCATATGGTGGTTTTGGGACGTTATAAACACCACATATCAGTCAATCAAATGATTTAGCATCACATGAAGCTAGAAGCATAACTTTTCAGTTCCCACAACTCATGGCGTTCCAACACTTGAAAGCGCCCACTACTGACGCCAACGTACATGGTCAAGCCATGTCAGACTTGTAATGTCGCTGACTGCCGTTGCAGTCACCCGTCAATACACTTTTGTTCCCAAGCCAGCGCTTCCATTTGCGCGACATACAACTGTAAGTGAAAGCTCATCTATGCAGAGAAGATGTTTTTTTAGATGATTTCTTCCATCATGAGAGCTTGGCAATCTTGTTTATTTTGAGCATTTGGCTTTACCCAGCAAACCATCAATATTTAGAG